GCCGCGCGTGCTGCGCGCGTTCGACGCGGCCGCGCGCGCCTACGACGGCGCGGACGCGCCGTTCGACGGCGCCGCCGCCGCGGCGCGGCTCTGCGCGCGCCACGACGCCACGTTCTCCGACCGCGACGGGGCCCGCGACGACGGCGAAACGGCGCGGCGCGTCGGCGGCCACCTCGAGCGGGGCGACGAGGCGCCCGCCGTCGAGACCGCGGCGAACTTCGCGGCGGCCGCGCGGCGGTCCGCGGCGCGCGCGGCCGCGTTCCTCGCGGGCCGCCGCCAGAGCGGCGCCGCGCGGCGCTGCGCCGCGGGCCTCGCCGTCGACGTCCGCGCGGCCGCGGCGGCCCACGTCGCGCGCGCGCTCGAGAAGCACGTCGCGACGGACCTCGGCGCCGCGCGCCTCGACCTCCGCGCGGCGCTGAGCGGCGCCGTCGACGAGGACGACGCGGCCGCGCGGCGCCGCGCCTACGTCTTCGACGAGGACCGGCCGAGCCTCGCGACGGCCGCGCTGCTCAACGAGCCGCTCCGCTCGGGCGTCGGCGCGCCCCTCGAGCGCGCGCTCGAGGACGCGGACCGCTTCTTCGACGGCGACGTCGCCGCGTTCCCGCCCTTCAAGGCCGCCGTGACGCGGGCCGTCGCGAACCTCGCCGCGGCCCTCGACTCGGACCCCCGGTCCCCGTCCCTCCGGGGCCTCCTCGCGGACCTCGACTGGGACGGCCGCTTCTTCGTCGAGGAGCCGCCGCGGCTAAGTTAGTCGAGCCCTGATACAAGTCGTGCGATGTGTTAGGCGGCCGCCGTGGGCGTGCGGCGTCCCTAGTGCTTCTTGTTCATGGCCTCGGCGAGGATGCCGGCGGAGGCGAGGCAGACGCCGGACCAGCCCTGGAGGTTGAGGGAGTGGCCCTTGAGGACGATGGAGAGGAGGACGGAGAAGATCTTGCGCGTCGTCGTGACGGTCGTGCACACCAGGGGATCGAAGTGCGCGATGGTAAAGAAGATGAACGACTGGCCGATGGCGGAGCAGGCGCCGAAGCGGAGGATCTTGGCCCAGATCTCCGGGTTCTCGAGGCAGAACGCGAGGCCGCGGCTGACCTCGCCGCGCGTCAAGGCGAAGGCCGCGGCCGTCGCGAGCATGTAGGCGTTGGTCCAGAACATGTAGTCGTAGGGCTTGGGCTTGATGCCCCGCGCCGCCGTCGCCGTCTTGACGCGCTTCTGGATGCCGCCGGTGACGCCGTCGAAGACCAAGGACGACGCGATGAACGCGAAGCCGAGCGCGGAGGACGCGGCGCCGGCGCCCTTCTTCTTCGACAACGAGACGACGGCCGTGCCGGCGACGATCATGGCGACCTGGGCGTACTGGCGCAGGCTGTACGTCGCGCCCCCCAACAACAGCGACCCCGCCATGACCGGCACCATCTTGCCGCTCTTCGCGAGCGTCGCCACGGGGAAGCTCACGCCGTTGGCCAAAGCCGCGTTCGTGCAGTACTTGGCGAGCACCTGCGACGCGCCGCTCAGGGCGAAGAGCTTCTGGGGCAGGCCCTTGGTGCCGCTCGTCGCCACGAGGCCGCCGAAGCCGACGGCGACGTTGCACAGCGCCTCGAGCACCTGGAGGAACCAGACCTCCTTGAACTTGCCGCCGTCGGCGCTCACGTAGCGGAACACGTCCTCCTGGAGCGACCCGTAGTAGAGGAAGGCCGCGTAGATGCCGCCGGCGCCGAAGAGCAGCTTCAGCGTCTCCGTCGGCGGCGCCGCGACGGCGGCGCCGCCCGTGACGGCCGTGGCCTTGCGCGGCGCGAGGGACGAGGCCTTGGGCGTCGGCGCGAGCTTGCCATTGGCGGCGAGCGCGGTGCACGCGAGGACGGCGAGGCGGAACATGCTCTTCAGCCGGCGATCTCGATGGCTGCTGGGGCTCAACATCAAGGAATCAATGCGGCATCATCGGCATCGCGGACGTTGTGGCTCTTCGCCTCGCGCTGGTGCCAGTGGTGGCCTTGCTGCGCCGTGGCAACAGCGCGAGCCACGCCAGCACAGCAGCGATGGACCGCTCCGTGGACCTCTACATCAACTACGTCGGCGAGCCCGAGCTGACGCTGAAGATGACGCTCAAGCTGGCCAAGTGGGGCCCCAGGCCCTGCGGCGCGCTCGTCGCCGCCTTCGCCAAGTCGGCGCGCGGCAAGGTCGGCGAGCTGGACGCGGCGACGCTGGCCATCGAGCGGGACGGCGCCGCCGTCGCGCCGGCGACGCCCGTCGCCGACCTCGTGCGGTCGGCGAAGGCGCTCCACGTCGTGCTGCGACCCGCGGCGCCGCCGGCGGCCGCGAAGGCGCCGCGGCGGCGGCGGCTCGCGCCGGAGCCGGCGCCGGTGAAGGTCGCCCTCATCTGCCAGCTCAAGGACGCGTCCGTGCGGCTCAAGTCCTTCCTCGACTACCACCTCGCGCTCGGCTTCCGGCGGATCTATCTCTATTTCGACGACCCGTCCGAGGCGGACGACGTCGAGTTCGCCGAGTCCTACGGCGGCGACCGCGTCGACGTGCGCGTGCGCGACGCGGCCCTGCTGCGCGAGTGGGCGGCGCTCCGGGGCTGGGACCGCCTGAAAAAGTTCGCGGGCGGCGACGTGCAGGTGCGCCAGATGCTCAACGCGCTGCACTGCCTCGCGCGGGCGAAGGCCGACGGCATGGACTGGCTGCTGCACGTCGACAGCGACGAGCTCTTCCACCCGGGCCCCGGCGAAACGTCCATTTTGCCCCACTTCCGCTACCTCCAGGACTCGGGGTGCCAGCTCTTTACGTACTACAACTTCGAGTCCGTGCCGCGGACGCCGCTCGAGGGCGGCGAGCGCGACTGCTTCCGGACGGTCACTGTTTTCAAGCGGTCGCGGTGCCTCACGCCGGCGACGGCCGCCGCGGACAAATGTTTGGAATTTTGGAAGTCGCGGTCGCCGATGAAGGACCTCTTCCTCTTCTACCAGAACGGCAAGTCGGCCGTGCGCTGCGACTGCGACGCCGTGCCCGTCTCCGTCCACGTCTGGTCGCCCGTCGACAAGCGCCTCCTCCACGCCCTGGGGCGCACGAACGACCACCGGAACCAGGGCATCGACTACGACGGCTCCGTGCAGTGCCGCGTGCTCCACTTCGCGTGCACGGACCCGAAAATGCTCTGGCGCAAGTACGACACGCTCGGCGACTTCCCCAACGCCTGCGTCGCCGACACGGTCGAGCACGAGAAGCTCATGTTCCACTGCGTCTGCCGCGACGCGTACGTGAAGCACCGCGGCGACGACGACCGCGGCGAGGCCGCGCTCGCCGACCTCTTCCGCCGCTCCGTCGCCCTCGACGACGACGACGAGATCGAGGCGCAGATCGCCGCGGGCGTGCTGGAGCGCGTCGACTTTATCCCATTTTGAGCCGCATGTTGCAGTTTGAGGGGGGGAATTGGCCAAATTGGCCGGATTGGCCGCGTCGGACGTACGCCGTCGGACGGCAGCCAACCGCGATCGGACGATCGGACGAAGAGCCAACCGCGATCGGACAAGGACGAGGCCATTGGACGAACCCGCGGCCATTGGACGCGACCCCCGGCCATTGGACGTAAAAGACATCCATTGGCTACGATCTCGCGACGTTGTGGGCAGCGTCTGGGGCAGCCCGCTCGCGAGCGGCGACGGCCCGGAGCGCGTCGATTCCATGGGAGTGGCCAACGCCGCCCTCCCACCCGCCCAAGACCTCGACGCCGATGAACCAGAACTTCCGATCCGCGGACTGCCGCCGTTCTGCAGACATCGATCACTGCGACTGCGGCGCGCGTCCCCACCCGATTTTTGCAGCTCCGGATTTATACGCCTTCACAGGACATGGGAACAACACATCATCTCTGTGCGGTCGCCCTACGGCTGACTTGGGTTCGAATTTCTCCCACGCGCGCGACGACGACGACGGCGGCGGCGGCGGCGGCGGCGGCGGCGGCGGCGGCGGCGGCCGACCGACCGACCGACCGACCCCCAAAAGTAGGTTGCAAGGGCTTCGCCGGGGACCCGAAGGGACTCGCCCGGCACCTCCCCTAAGCCCCAATATTTTTTTTTTTTAATTTTACCCCCCGTACCTTGGCGCTCGAGACGGCCTCTCCGGCTGGTAGTCCTCGTACTAAGCCCGCGACGCCGCGCACCGTCGGTTTTTACGCGTCGGCCAGATCGGCGCGATCGGACGATCGGACGATCGGCCAGATCGGACGATCGGACGAAGCCCATCGGACGCACGGCCAATCGCCGTTGGACGTGGCCAATGGGATTCGGCCAACGCGGCCAATCCGGCCAATTTGGCCAATTCCCCCCCTCAAGTTGCAGTCGTAGTGCAGGCTTCTTGAATTTCCGAGGGCGACGATGATGAGACCACTCCTCGTCACTCGTTGCAGCAGCAGACTGAACGCAATGGCGCGCCTTATGACGGGCGCGGCGAAGCAGACGCAGAACCTCGTCACTCGTCGCGCCGCGCGCCAGCTGACGGGCACGGCGAAGCAGACGCAGAGCCTCGTGAAGCACTTGACGGTGCGCGAGGTCGCCGCCGGCCGGTTCCAGGGCAACAGCGTGGAGCTGGGCTGGGGCCGCGTCTACGGCGGCCAGACCATGTCCCAGGCCCTCGACGCGGCGCACCGCACGGCGCCGGGCCGCGTCGTCCACAGTTTCCAAGCCTACTTCTACCGGCCGGGCCGCACGGACGAGCCCATGGATTTTTCCGTCGAGGCGCTCAGCGACGGCCGCGCGCTCGCGTGCCGCCGCGTGACGGCGTCGCAGAAAGGCGTCGACATCTTTTCCATGCTCTGCAGCCTGCAGAGCGCGTCCGCCGCGCCGGCGCGGCCGCTCGAGCACCAGCGGCCGCTCACGGCGCCGGCGCCGGACGACTGGCGGCCCGAGGCCGTGCCGACGCTCCAGGAGCGCATGCGGCCGCACGAGGCGCTGTTGCCGACGCCGCTGCGGAAGATCTACCTCAACGACGCCTCGCCCTTCGTGCTGCGCCAGCGCGACTTCACGGCGCCGTCGGAGACGGGCGCGTCGGAGCCGGCGACGAGCTCGTACCTCAAGCTCGCGGCGCCCGTCGGCGACGACGCGGCGCTCCACGCGCGGCTGCTGGCCTACATCTCGGACTGGGGCTTCATCTCCACGGCCCTACGTCCCCACGAGGGCATCAGCAACTACGCGCGCGGCGTCCAGCTCGCGACGATCTCCCACGGCGTCACGTACCACCGCGCGGACCTCCTCCGGCTCGACGAGGACTACGTCCTCGTGCGCCACCGGTCGCCGTCGGCGTCCCAGGGCCGCGGCTTCGTCGTGGCCGAGTTCTTCGCGCGGGACGGCACGCTCCTCGCGTCCGCGCAGCAGGAGGGCGTCGTCCGCGTGCTCATGGATAAGTAGCGCGTTTTTTTCAAACGAGAGCGACCTCTACAAAAAAAGAAGGGGGGGGCACCAAGCTCACTCCCCGGTGTGCTTGAAGCGGTTGTCGCTGCTGATGAGCTCGACGAAGCTCTTGTGGTCGCCGATGGTGACGGACGTGCCCGTCTCCGCGGCGCCGTCGTCGGCGGGCCGCGGCACGAAGCCCGGGAAGGGGCACTGCTTCGCGAGGGCCGCGTCGGCGGCGGCCTTCTCGTCGCCGCGCTGCTGGTCCGCGAGGCGGTCGAACTCCTCGCGGCCCGCGTCCGTCTTGAGCGACGCCAAGAGGCCGCTGAGCAGGCCCTCGAGCTGCGCCTCCTGCGCCGGGTCGCCGGTGATCGGCGGCCGCGGCGCCGCCGGTGCCGCGGCGTCGTCGACCTCGTCGAGCATCTTGCACAGGCCCTTGAGCGAGCTCGCGAGCTCGAGCTGCGCGACCATGCCCGCCATCGGGTCCGCCGCGGGCGCGGGCGCGGCCTCGAAGGCCGCGGAGCCGCCGCCGCGGCCGGCGACGAAGGCGTTCGTCGTCGGCGCCGAGAGGCTCACGGTCGTCTTCGGCTTCGGGGCGCCCATGGTCACGCCGGTCGCGCCGTCGAACGACAGCTGCATCGTCGCCGCTCGCGTCTTCCGGTCGCAGTCGAAGACGGTCACGAGGGGCCCCCGCTGGGCGTAGCCCCGCCGCTCGAGCGCCAATCGGTCGCCGGCGCGCCACTCGGGCACCTCGACGCAGCAGGCGCCGCAGCCGTTCGCGCGCGCCGCCGACTCCGCGGTCCGGAGCGCGGCCTCGGCGACGTCGGCCGCGTCGTCGCGCGAGACGTCGCCGGCGACGGCGAGGTGCTCGAAGAGGGCGACGCGGCCCGACGTCGCCGCGCCGACGTAGGACACGCGGACGCAGGCGAGGACGGCCTCGCCGACGACGGACTCGACGACGACCCACTGGCCGCCCGGCGACGCGAGCTGCCGCGCGACGCCCGCCTCCGTGACCGTCGGCCCGGGGCCGCTGCGGAAGGCGTCCGGGCCGGCGAAGTCGCCCGCGTAGTGGGCGTTGACGACGGCGCAGATGTCCGCCGCGTCCTCCGGGTCGCACGCGACGCGCACGTCCCAGCCCCGCTTGCTCCCGAGGCCGCGCCGGCTCTGGAACCGCGGCACCGTGTCGTCGACCATGGACGGCACCGCGTCGTCGCCCAGCGACGTCAGAGGCGCCGTGAAGGTCGCGTCGCTCAGGGACAGCTTCGTCTTCGGCGGCGGCGGCGGCGGCGGCGGCGCGACGCCGTAGGCCTTGGCGGCGAGGAGCTCCGCCTTTTTCGCCCGGAACTCGGCCTCCGTGAGGATGCCCTCGTCGTAGAGGGCCTTCGTGTCGCGGAGCGCCTGCACGCGGGCCGGCTCCATGGCGGCGCGAGGCGTCGAAGCGCGCGAAGCAGGTGAGCTGCCACAAGCCGAGCCGGGCAGGACGATGGTGATCTTGACGGTGCCGACGACGTTGCCTTGGCGGCCACCACCGCCGCGCGCGCCGCAAGATGGCGCAGCCGCTGGTCACGGGCCACAACGTGTCGTTCGTCGCGGTCGCGCGCTTCGTCGACAGGACCGTCGTCGCGTGGTGCAGCCACGGCGCCAACGTGGACCTCGCCGGCGTGCGGACGGTGCTGGACCCCGCGTCCATGCAGCACATCGAGCGCGACAAGCACTACAACTTCGCGTCGGCGGGCGTCGCCTGGCACCTCACGAGCGACGGCGACACGTGGATCTACGTCGCCATCACGGCGACGGACTACCCGCTGCGCCACGCGTCGGGCCTCCTCGGCGAGCTCAAAGGCGCGTTCGCGCCCAAGGCGACCAAGGGCCTGAACACGCGGCTCGCCGGCGGCCTCAACGGCGACCTCCAGCCCAAGTTCAGCCGCCTCTGCGCGCGCTACGACGACCTCACGCAGGTCGACAACATCCACGCGACGCTCGGCAAGGTCGAGGCCGTCAAGGTCGTCATGCAGGACTCGATCGAGCTCGCGCTCCAGAACTGCGTGTCCCTCGAGGCCATCGACCAGAAGGCCGACGAGCTCCAGAGCCAGGCGGGCATGTTCAAGAGCAAGGCGAAGAAGCTCCGGTCCCAGATGTGGTGGAAGAAGTGCAAGATGCAGCTCCTCATCACGTTCCTCGTGCTGACGATCATCGGCGTCATCGTCATCATCATCATGGCCTACACGGGCGCGTTCAAGGACAAGGACAAGAAGAAGGACAAGTAGGCGCCCGGACGTCGTAACGGGGCTCGGTCGTTCTTGGTGCTGCGCGGGGGTTCTGGCTCGAAAGCACGCGTGCGCACGCACGGGATGCGCCGCACGCCTGCGACACCACCCGTCTTACAAGCGGCGCCTCAAAACGCGCGCCGGAAGTCCTTACGAGCAGGAACTAGCACCAGCTACAACAACAACATCTAAAACCCGTATCTTCTCGTTAAAACTTCAGCATCGATTCGAGTGTGCACAGCCTTGGCCGCGGGCTGGGCACGAGCTGGGGCTCCCGGCCGCGTACTATTCAGGCGCAACACACGACGAGCTTGGGGAGCGCCTCGCGCAGCCCACATCGTGCGGCGCGCTGCACATCAAAACCTTCAGTGGGGATCCCAGAGATGTCGTCGGCCATGTACCAGAGCGACCACCGGCGGCGGCTCAGCGCGGACCACGCGCGCATGATCGCCAAGGAGGAGGCGACGCTCCTCGACACGCTGGAGATCGACGCCGGCGCCGACGAAACCGACCATCACGACCACTTCCTCGACGTCCTGACGAACATGCACGCGCTCTACATCTTCTGCGCGGGCTTCTTCGCCTGCGGCGTGGCCTACACCATGTATTTCGGGATCCGCGTCATGCAGTGGCCCCTGCTGCGGAGCGTCTTCTTCTTCGCCATCACCGTGAGCACGACCGGCTACACCGACTTCGACGCGTCCGATAGCGCGCGGGAGACCAAGTGGCTGATCGCCTACATGTGGGTCTGCGTCCTCGTCTGCGGGCTGGGGCTGGGCGTCGTCATCGCCTTCGCCCACGAGAACTTCGAGTCGGGCATGGCGAACATCACGGCGTCGACGTACGAGGAGGAGGAGGCGGAGAAGGCGTCGACGGGCGGCGAGAAGGAGGCGCACGCGTCGCGCATCGTGGCCCACGCGCGGGCGAAGATGCGCAACCTGAACCATCGCCTGGTCATGGAGTTCGCGCAGCTCGCGCTTTTGTACGTGCTGGGCGTCTTCGTCATCATGCGCTGCGAGACGCACTGGGACATCCTCCAGGCGGCGCTCTGGGCGACGGAGTCGCTGACGACCATCGGCTACGGCGACGTCATCCCCGAGTCGAGCGCGGGCATGGCCTTCTCCGTCGCCTACCTGCTCGTCGGCGCGGCCATGTTCGCGCGGATCATCGCGTTCATCAGCATGTACCCCTCGACGGCGTTCGAGCTCGGCGAGCTCGTCGAGATCATGGAGTCCGTGGGCATGCGGCGGCGGAAGAAGGGGCCCCTCCACGCCCTGGGCAAGCCCGCGGCCTGCAACGACTGCGCGTCCGACGACCCGCGGCGGGGGATCACGGCCGCGGCGGAGCCCGGCCGCATCCACGACGACGTCCTCGCGGAGATCTGGACGCTGCGCGACGACAGCAAGCGGCGCCTCCAGAAGACGCACAGCAGCCAGCGCCTCATGGTCAAGTCGCTCCGGGACAAGGGCCACCTGCCCGAGGACCTCGACGACGCCGCGGGCGACGGCCGGCTCCACCGGCCCGAGTTCATCCTCCACTTCCTGCAGATGATCAAGAAGGTCGACCCCAACGACATTCTGGACGCGTCCGACTTCTACAACTCGCTCTGCGAGCACAACCCCAACGCCGCGGAGCACGGCGTCACGCTCGACGAGGCGCGGCACGCGACGGACCGCTTCAACCGCATGGCGGCCTACGAGTCGAACCGGCCCGCGTCGCGCGGCGCCATCCCCGAGGACGCGCCCGTGCCCTTCCAGGACGACGCCGCCTACCAGGCCGAACTCAAGGAGGGCGATGTTTAAAAAAGGTCGAATTGGAGGTGCGAATTGGGGGGTCCTAGGACCGCTCGTCGATGAACTTCGAGTAGCGGTGGGAGTAGGTCCGCCGGTAGCCCTCGCCGACGTAGCGCCGGCTGAGGTCGCGCTCCGTGGGCCAGTAGTCGCGGCAGGGCGCCGCCGGCGGCGCGACGGTCTTCGCGATGGCGAGCGTCTCGCTGTGGAGCTTGTCCGCGAAGCCGTCGAGGTCGTGGTCGACGTCCGCGAAGTTGAAGGGGTTCTCGATCTCGATGGCGATCTGCATGACGCCGTAGTAGAAGAAGGCCGTCACGATGCTCGGCAGGATGCCGCTCATGGAGTACCAGTGGAGCCGCTTCTCCGTCCGCGCCCAGTACGCGACGGGCACCTGGGCAGGAAAAGGGTGCGAAATTCCCAACTTCAAAGGCTCCTATCTCGGCTGTTTTCCGCTCGTTTCGGCTGATTTTTGGACGAGCGATCATCTCTCGGAGCGCTCTCGAAGCGTGGGTGCTGTTTCCGAAACGCGCGCGCGCGAAACACTCACGTTGATGCGACGTTGAATCACCCTTTTCCTGCCCTGACGGGCACCGAGTAGACGAAGATGAAGAGGAGCACGCCGAGGATGAGCGTGTAGGTGAAGGGCAGGGGCGTGTCGACGATGCGCTGGCAGCTCTTGAAGGCGTCTAAAAGCTCCTGGATGTTGCGCGTCGAGCATTCCGTGAACGCGCGGTCCTGCGCGAGCGACGGCGCGAGGCGCTGGAGCGCGTCCATGAGCGAGTGCGACGCGAGCATGACGCGCGCGCCCGACGACACGGTGCCGTAGGTCGCGACCTCGCGGGGCGTCAGCATGTCCACGAGCCGCGGCCGCGACGGGTCCAGGATCCACGTCCGCTTGTTGTAGGGCACCTCGTGGAGCGCGCACTCGGGCACGAAGCCGCAGCGCTTCTCCCGCAGGTCCTGGCGCAGCACGCCCAGGAGCACGTTCGCCTGGCGCCGCACGCGCTCCCGCAGCTCGTGGACGACCTCGGCCTCGTGGGCCCGCTCGCGGAGCTCCGCCGCGGGCTGGTACCGCGCGTTGAGGTGGCCGGACGCGTCCTCGTGGAACGCGAGGAACGCGTGCGCGTTCATGATGATCTGGCGCACCTGGTTCGTGACGACGCCGTAGGCCTTCTTGCCCTCGTAGTAGCGCTCGTAGGCGCTGTTCGTCCGGAAGACTAATAGTAAACTGAGCACGGCGCCGACGAGGCCCTGCGTGATGTCGAACTGCGACGACGGCATGGACTTGACGCCGAGGTGGTCCAGGAGGTTGATCACGAGGTTGACGAAGACGAGGGTCACCAGGTTGGGCCAGAGCTGCTGGACGAAGCGCCCCACGAGGTGCGTCCGCGTGAAGATGGCGATGAACCACCACCGGTTGTCGTAGAGCTCCATGTAGGGCTTCGGCAGCTTCTTCGGGTACTCGTGCTCCGCGGGGCAGTCGAACTTGAAGGGGAACGCGCCGACGTCGTCGAGGTTCGGCGGCGCGCGCGCCGGGTCGTGCGCCGCCTCGCGCCTACCGGCATTTTTTCAGGTCGACGGCTCGAGAATTTTTCCCAGTCGACATCTCTCGAAGACCGTCGCGTCTCTCTTTAGTCCCGTCGGGGCGGACGCCGTCGCCGCGCATGGTCTTGTCGAGCCAGTCGTAGCACTCGTCCAGGCTGCAGAGCAGCTCGACGCACGCCTTCTCGCGCGCCGCCTTGTCCTTGTGGAGCTCGTTGATCGTGATGTCCATGAACCGCTTCGCGCCGGCGAACTTGTCGTTGATCTTTTCCTTCAGGGCCGAGCGCTCGCCCTTGCGGAACGGGTGGAAGGACCGCGGCGTGAACGGGGGCGTCAGCGTCAGGGAATTCGATCGCTGATGCTTGAGGGGCACGACCGTGTGTTCCGGCGTCTCCCCGAAGGCCTCGTCGACGACGCCGATGTCCTCGACGCCGCGGGCCGTCGGGCTGCCCGACTCCGCGTCGGCGAACGCGGTCGCGCCGGCGAGGCAGCCCTCCATGGTCGAGAATCCGGGCACCGGGCTTCGGCTCGCGGATTCGGTGGGCAACATCACAATGTAGAGGTCGGACTTTGCGAGCTTCACATGTTGACTCAGCTCCACGTCGAGGATCCGCTCTGTCGCCCAGCCCCCGCGCGCTGCTCGAAGCCGACGTTCCGAGCCGATCTCCAGGTTCCCAATCCACACTAGACACCATGGCTCCGCGCGCCGCGGCCCTCCTCTGCGGCGTCGCGGCGGTCTTCGGCGGCGACCCGACGAAGCCCCACTTCCACGGCCCGACGCGGACGCCCTTCGATCCGAAGGACGACATCGCGCCGCCGCTGAAATCCGCGGACCTCGCGAAGCTCGCCGACGGCGAGATCATCACGGTGCAGTCGAGCGACGCCACCAGCGGCGGCGGCTGCGCCGTCGAGGACATCCGCGCGCCGCCGGACGTCGTCTGGTCTCAGCTCCTGACGTTCGAGACGTACCCGGACAAGGTGCCCAAGGTGCGCGAGTGCGCCAACTACGAGGTCACGAAGTCGAGCGACGAGGAGGTCATGAAGACGCGCTACGGCGTCAAGGTCGTCCCGGGCCTCAGCATGGAGTACTACCTCCGCCACGTCTTCCACCCGCGAAAGAACGCGCTGACCTGGACTTTGGACTACGAGAAGCAGAGCGACATCGACGACTGCCACGGCATCTGGCGCGTCGTGCCCCACCCGGAGCGGCCCGAGTGGTCGCGCGTCGAGTACGCGGCGGACCTCAAGCTCCGGGGCGGCTGCCCGCAGTTCGTCATCGACATCCTCACGAAGAAGGCCCTCGTCGACGCCTGCACGTGGCTCAAGGTCGAGTCCGAGAAGCAGTACGCCGGCGAGGTCGCGTCGGGCCGCGGCGCGGCGCCGTCGGGGCCCGGCGGGTTCCCGAAGGTCCTCGTCGACGCGCCGCGCCGGCTCTTCGACAACGCGGGCGAGGTCATCGACGACGTGCTCGGCGACATCGAGCAGGGCGTCGTCGACCTCGGCAACAGCGCCCTCAAGTCCGCGACGGACGCCCTGTCCATGATCCCGGGCTTCCGCGAGCGCGTCTCGGCGCCGCTCCGCGACCTCACGCGCGCCTACAACGACGTCCCGGGCCCGGACCCCGTCGCCGTCCCCGTTGCCCAGTTCGCGCCCAAGGGCCGGCGCTGGCTCCGAAAAAGCAGGCCAGCGGACGACGACGCCAGCGCCGCCTGAGCGGGCGCGCGGGCCCCGCACGGGCCCGCGCCCCCCGGGCCGACGCGCCCCCCTTCCTGATCATAGCCACTTTTTTTGTGTAGCTGATGGGCGCTCGGCGTGGCGAAGTCCGGGCCGTCTTCGCACGCGGGGATGCGTTGGGCGAGCGACGGGCGTCGTGAGGGCGAGGGCGACGATGAGTTGTGGAAGGAGGCGAGTCGCGGGTCGATCGCGAGGCCCTGGTTCCGCAGACTAGGCGATGAGCCAGGCGGCCACCGCCGCGACCACGCCGCCGAGGCACGCACGCGCCGATTCGGCGCCGTCAGCCTCGTCGCAGTTGAGGGTGGAGTTCCAGGCCATGGCGTTTCCACCGTTCTTAATGTAGCAGACGGCGGGACCTTGGCCCGTGCCAGAGACGACGGCCAGATTCGATGTCTGGTAATGGTTCGTCCCTTCGGCATTGACCGCGACGCAATCCTCGTCAAGGGCGCACACTTCGAGGGCACAATCCACCACCGTCTGCGCCATTTCCTCCTCGGTGTCGTCCACGTCCGTCAAGGCCGCGTTCGCGCAATCGCCCACGAAGCAATCGAAGCCCGTTCTCTCCGCGTCAGAAGAACACGAATCGAGGCGCCGCCGATGAGTGATGTCCAGCGACTGGCGCATTTTTCCATCGGCGACAAGGGCGCGGCGGCGATCAGCCGCACCCTCGATATCAACGGGCGGCTGCGCCCCCTGAACCACCTCGCGCACACGGGCGTCGGACCCGTGGCGGCCATGGTCATCGCCGAGGGCTTGCAGGCGGCTCCAAAGCAAAGGGCAACGATGGCGAGTGCGCGCACCATGATGGAGTTTACACAATAATGCTCCACTGCTCGACAATGGATTGCTTTGCGGAGACGCGATGTGGCTAGATATGTCCGAGGCATCGTGTCGTCAATGACGATGTTGATCCCGCTGTATTCCTCAAGCGCTGACGACGATGCTGCCGAAGAACTTCCGAATGGCTCCAATCTCCGCCCTCCTCGCGGTCGGCGCCGCGGCGCAGTACGTCGGCCAGGGCGGCGACGGCAACCCGCACAACTGGGACCGCCGGCGCCGCTGCGACCACTCCCAGTACAGCCCCACGTGCGGGCCCTGCGAGGGCTACGGGGGCATCCCCTACGGGGACGAGAACGACGAGATCACGCTGACGTCCTGCGAGGTCGTCGCGAACAAGAGCGACGTCGACCCGGCGACGCTGGCGGCGCCCGTCTGGGGCCGCAGCTGGGTCAGCGGCACCTACTTCGAGGTCCTCATCGGCCCGAAGCTCGACCCGTTCTGCTTCTCGGTGATCCCGTCCAACAGCAGCGAGGGCGGCCTCTGCTACCGCGCGGACTACGGGTCCCAATGGTACGACATGACGGTCGCCGGGCCCCACGCGCTCAAGTACGACCTCAACTCGCAGACGTCCGTCGGCAACATCACGTCGACCGTGCTCCACCAGCAGACGAACTTCTGGATCACGAACCACTTCCCCTGGTACGCGTCGGGGCTGCACCAGTGCGTCTGCACGAAGGTCCGCGAGGGCGGCGCGACGTCGGACAACTTCTACTATCCCATCCAATACAACTGGACCGACAACCTCTTCTACGTCGGCCGCGAGCGCGTCGGCGTCGAGTACACGGGCACGACGCAGGTCTTAGATCACTGGGCCTTCGGCCCCCACCACGTCTGGACGCGGCCGGAGAACGGGTCCATGATCCGCATGTGGCAGCCCTACAACGGCCTCCAAATCTTTCCCGCGGGCACGGACCCGGCGGAGACGCCGCCCGGCACGTTCGACGACATCCCGCCCCAGCTCTGCAAGGGCGGCTGGCCCACCTCCGGCGGCGCGGCCTTCCGCGTCCACTGCGACGACGACGGCTACTACACGAACGCGTCCGCGTCGCTCGCGGCGTCGCGAGGCGTCGAGGCCGCCTTCCGCGCCGCGCTCGCGGACCGGAACGCGACCGCGCTCTCCGACGCCGAGCTCGGCCGCGCCGCGGGCATGCCCGGCGCGGCCTACCGGGGCGCCGACTTCGGCGCCATGTCCGCGACGCTCAACGGCCACCTCGCGCGCGCCGAGGCCGCGGGCGGCGCCGCGACGCGCGCCTGCGAGGACTGGACCGCCGGCGAGCTCCAGCAGCTCCTCGCCGTCCTCCACGTCCTCCGCGACGACGCGCTCGACGCCGTCTACCGGGCGAACGGCGACCCGCGCGCGCGGCGCCACGCCGACGCCGACGACCTCCAGCGGGAGTGGGCCCGGACGAACGCGCTCGCGGAGGGCGCCGCGCGCGCCGCCGCGGGCGCCCGCCGCGACGGCTACTGCCACGAGGCCGTGATGATGTGGGTCCACCACGTCTCCGAGGACGCCAAGGCCCTCCTCGCCGCGTCGTCGATGGTCATCCCGCTCCTCAGCGCGACCCGCCACGACTGCGGCGCCTTCTCCGCGCCCGAGCTCTGCGACGTCTACGAGGAGCAGGTCACCTGCGCCGACTGCCACACGCAGTCGCCCTGACGCCGCGCGCCGCGAGTGTCCATAGTCCGAGCCAATCGGAGGCTCAAGTGCGTTTGAAAACTAGCGCGTCGTTCTCGCTGCCATCCATCAATCCGACTCGCTGCCAGACTCGCTGCCAAGCCTTCCAACCATGTTCAAGCTCGCCGCCGCCACGATCCTCGCCGTCGCCCTCGCCCAGGACGCGGACTGGGAGACCTTCAAGGCCCAGCATGCACCCGGCGCCCGAACACGGGCTGCCCCGGGGGCTGCCCCGCGACCTCCCACCCCCCACGCAGGTACAAGAAGACCTACGAGGACGCCGACGACGAGGCGGCGCGCCACGCCCTCTTCACCACGGCCCAGGCGCGCGTCGCCGAGCTCAACAAGCTCAACGGCAAGGCGGGCCCGGCCTTCGGCATCAACTGGATGTCGGACCGCTACGAGCACGAGCAGTACGCCAAGGGCCTGCTCAAGCCCAAGGACTTCAACGCCACGGCCGAGGTGCGCGCCTACAAGGGCCGCTCCGGCGCCAAGAAGTCCGTCAACTGGCGCTACACGGAGGCCGTGACGCCCATCAAGAACCAGGGCCAGTGCGGCGCGTCTCCGGCGTCGACGCTTTCCGCGCGCGGACCGCCCGAAACCGAAACGTCCTAGGCTCCTGCTGGGCGTTCTCCGCGACGGAGGCCATCGAGTCGCAGCTCGTGCTCGCGTCCGGCGGCAAGCTCACGATCGACCTCAGCCCGCAGCACATCACGTCGTGCACGCCGTCCACGGGCACCTACGGCTGCCTCGGCTGCAACGGCGGCTTCACGGAGGGCGCCTACGAGTACATCAAGACCGTCGCGGGCCTCGCCAACTCCTTCTACATCCCCTACGCGCAGTCGCTCACGGCGTCGTCGACGACGGAGGCGTGCCCGACGGACCTCGTCGAGCAGATCGACGGCCCCGACCAGACCCTCTCCGGCGGCTTCGCCGCCGTCGCCGACTACCACTACGCGACGAAGCCCTGCACGTCCGGCGCCTGCGAGGACCAGGACCTCGACGCGCTCGCCGCGGCGCTCGAGGAGACGCCCGTGTCCATCTGCGTCAACGCGGGCGCCTGGAACGACTACACGGGCGGCGTCATGACGTCGGCGGCCTGCGGCCCCATGGGCGCCGAGTACCAGGACCACTGCGTCATGGCCACGGGCTTCAACGTCACCGCGCCGACGCCCTACTGGATTGTGCGCAACTCGTGGTCGTCGACGTGGGGCGAGCAGGGCTACATCTACCTCGAGATGGCCAAGAACACGTGCGGCCTCGCCGACGACGCCACGATCCCCGAGGTCAAGCTCGACATGACCGACGCCGAGCTCGCCGAGGCCGCGGTCCGCCGCGAGCTCATGTACCAGCGCGCGACGATCGCGCTCTGAGCGCCGCCGCCCCGCCGCGGGCCTTCGCGCGACGCCGCCATCCCGTGCACCCGCCAGCAGCCAGACTGCACTTCTCCGCGCGAGCTCTCCGACGGGCCGCCCCTCGTCACGTAAACGAGCTTAGCTGAAGCCGTCGTTGAAATGATTGTTGAGTGACTCGTCGTGGTGACGACGATGGACGCAGCCCATCATGGGCGCGAGCTCTCGACGAGCGGCATCGAGGACATCGACGGCGCCATCGCCATCGCCGTGCTCGTGGGCATGATCTTTCTCGGCGTCGTCGGCGGCTTCTACGTCATCCAGAGCAAGTACATGCCGGAGTCGCTGCCCAAGAGCCAGGTCGTGCTCAACGTTTTGACGCTGACGGTGGGCCTCGCCTACTTCTTCTGGGCGCTGATCCACACGCTCGCCGGCTCCTTCGACGGCGGCGTGCTGAGCTTCCCCGTGGCCGTCGCCGCGTCGCTCTACGGCGCGGGCGTCTGCGTGCTGTGCTGCGCGTTCCAGGCCAAGTTCTACCGCGTGCTGGCCTTCTGCGGCTTCGGCGCCGTGCTGCTCAACTACGGCATCATCGCGTTGATCGTCGAGACCGACGACGGCTGGACCATGCTCATCTACCTCATCGCGGGCATGGCCTTCTGGCTCACAGCGCTCGTCGCGGCCTTCGTCGTCACGCACGTCGCGCCGACGGGCGACGAGACGGCGGCCTACGCGAAGATCCCCGGCGAGGACGTCGTCTAACGATAGGCATCGAAATATAAAAAAGGGAGGAAGAGGAGGGCGCCTAGGCCGTCGCCATGGCCGCGTCCGCGTTCTTCTTGATGCAGCAGCAGCAGCCGCAGCAGCCCGTGCACGCGGCGACGAGCGCGACGAAGAAGGGGATGCCGTTGAGGTAGACGGCGTCGACGGAGCAGGGGCTCTGGGCGCCCTTCTCGTGGTGGCAGCCGCGCGCGGCGCGCGCGTCGTCGCCGTAGTCGCGGTTGTCGTCGTCGTACGACGCGCCGCCCATGAGGCCCGACATGGAGAAGAAGAGGGCCAGCGCCGCGAAGGAGCAGAGCACGGCGAGGCACTTGTGGGCCCGGCGGTCGAGGCCGAAGCAGCACCGCGTGAGCGCCGCGCCGGGCGCGTCGTCGCCGTCGCCGCCGCCGTCGGCGGCCGGGTGGCAGACGGGCGCGGCCTCCTCGTCGACGACGACGCGCACCTTCGTCGCGTCGGCCGACGCGACGACGGCGAGGAAGACGTCCTCGAGCTTGGGCTGCTCGAGGCTGAAGTCCGCGACGCCCAGCGCCTTCAACCGCCCGCCGTCCGCCAAATCGTTCTCGAGCGCGCGGAACGTCGCGCCGACGCGGCCGTCGACGTCGGGCACGTCGAGCTCCAGCACCCGCTTCTTGCGGTCCGCCCGCGGCGCCGCGCCCGGCACGAGGTCGAGCACGCGGCGCTTCGCGGCCGCGGCGTCGTCCGGCGACAGCTCGCCCCCCGTCCGGAGGCTCAGCGTCCACGCGGCGCCGAACTTGGCCTTGAGGCTCAGGGGCGTGCCCAAGGCCCGCAGCTGGCCGTGGGCCATGATGGCGACGCGCGTGCACAGCGCCTCGGCCTCCTCCATGGAGTGCGTCGTGAGCACGACGGCGCGGCCGACCATCGCGCGCCGCAGCACCGTCCACAGGCGGCGCCGCGAGACGGGGTCGAGCCCCGCCGACGGCTCGTCCAGCAACACCACGTCCGGGTCGCCGACGAGGGCGCAGGCGACGCACAGCTTCCGCTTCATGCCGCCGCTCAGGCGGCTCGCGAGGCGGTCGGGCACGTGCGCGAGCTCGACGTCGTCCAAAAACGCGTCCACGACGGCTTTCCGCGCGGCGCCGCTCGCGACGCTCTGGCGCGCCGTGCGCAGGTCGAGGAACAGGTCCAGGTGCTCGCGGCAGGACAGCTTGTCGTAGAGCGTGTCCGTCTGCGTGACGACGCCGAGATGCGCCGCCGCGGCCCGGAAGTCGTCGAGGATGGACCGCCCGCAGACCCAGGCGTCGCCCGCCGTCGGGAAGGCCGCGCGCATGACCACGGCGATGGCCGACGTCTTGCCCGCGCCGTTGGCGCCCAGCAGGCCGAAGATCTCGCCCGCGTCCACCCGCAGGCTCAGGTTCTCGACGGCGACGGTTTCGCGCTTTTTTCGCGCGTCGCCGTAGACCTTGCGCACGCCCCGCAGCGTCAACGCGTGGTCGCCCCGCGCCGCGGCGAGCGCGCCGGCCCGCTCGAAGCGCACGTCGCCGTCGAGGGCCTCCGCGTCCTCGTCGTCCAACCGCTCGTCGACGAACGGCACCGCGAGCGCCGCCGCGCGGTCGTCGAGGCGGTAGGCGACGTAGAGGAAGAGGACCATCTCGACGATCGCAATCACAAAAGTCGCGACGCGCGGCGGGTAGCCGTCGGCGAACTGCGCGAGCTTCGTGGACACGCGGGCCATCTCGAGGACGAAGCCGCCGTGCGGGCAGCAGAGCGCCGCGCCCCAGAACAGCACGCCCAGGAACGCGTCCTTCGAGAGGTGGATGACGTCGGCGCCCTGCTCGCCCAGCGTCAGGTTCACGAGCGCCAGCGCCGACGCGGGCGCGAAGAGGAGCCCGAGCACGAGCATCGGCCCGAGGACGACGGCCGTCCGCGGGCCGCCGCTGCCGAAGGACGCCGCGTAGGAGAAGGCCGACGCCTGGGCCAGGAAGAGGATGGGGTAGACCCAGGTCTCGACCTTGAGCCACTTGTGGAGGCCGTCCTTGTGGCCCGCGCCCGGCCCGTCGACGTCGAACGCCAGCGCCGCGTCGTCGTCGAGGTGGTGGCCCACCTCGTCCAGCACGGCGCCGAGGGTCGGGTCGTCGTACTTGCGAACCACCGCGTCCAACACGGCGTGGACGAGCGCGTCGTCGCCGAGCCACGCGTCGTCGTCGACGTGCACGGCGTCGTCGACGAGGCTCCGCCGGAGACTTTCGGGCACGCGGGGCGCCGCCTCCGCGGCGCCCATCATGAGCACGGCCTCCGGCGTCGCGGCGACGGCGGCGCTCACGTGCTCGTCGAGCGTGTAGCGCAGGCTGAAGGCCGAGGGCTTCGCCGGCGCGGACCCGCCCCAGACCGCGGCGCCCGTCGCGACGGTCGAGAAGCAGAGGCCGACGACGACGAGGAGCGCCAGGTCCCCTAAGAGCGTGCCGGCCCAGTAGGCGCGCGCGTCGCAGCCCGCCACGGTCAGCACGTTGCGCAGCTTCGACGACCGCTCGCCCGCGACGTGCTCGGAGAGGAGGCCGACCATGGGCACGAAGCCGAGCATGCAGAAGACGCAGGTCGTCATGTTCGCGGCGAAGGTGCCCCTCGGGCCGAACTTGTCCGTCGCGTTGCAGGAAAAGGCGGCGACGGCGGCGCCCACGGGCAGCGCGACGAGGAGCAGCGTGCGGAACGGGTCGTGCGCGGCGACGCGGAGCCGCTTCCGCACCATGGCCGCCGTCTGCCGCGCGACGACGCGGCAGGACCCGTCGCCCCCGGCGGCCGCCGGCGGCGGCGCGGCGGACGACGCGCGCGCCGGCGCCGCGGGCGCGGGGCCCGCGGCGCGGTCGCGCTCCGCGTCGTCGCCGACGCGGAGGAACACGTCCTCCATGTCCGTGTCCGAGACGCCGATGCGCAGGGCCGCGTCGCTGGACTCGAGGGCCTCGAGGCAGTCCGCGAGGCCCCGGTCCCGGGGCACGGCGAACTCGAGCTTGGGCGCCGTCCGGCTGATGACCCGCGTCGGCGCGCGCGCGGACCCGGCCTCGTCGTAGCGCCGCTCCCACGCGCGCGCGCCCGGCGCGTGTTTGGCTAAGATGGCCTCGACGGCGGCGGCGACGCCGCCGTTGTCGTCGGAAACATCGGAGGCCGTCTTGGAAGGCCGGAGCTGCACGTGGTCCTCCTCGGACTCGGACCGCGCGGGCGACTCGCCGCGCTTCGACTCCGCGTCGAGCGCGTCCCGGGCGCCGCGGGCGCCGCGCGCGGCCTCGACGACGAGCTTGCGGCCCGAGCCGTAGGCCGCCTTCAAGGCCTCGGGCGCGTCCGCGCACTTGAGGCGCCCGGCGACCATGATCGCGACGACGTCCCCGAGCACCTGGGCAGCACAAGGGTGATTCAACGTCGCTTCAACGTGAGTGTTCCGCGCGCGCGCGTTCCGGAAAAAGCATCCACGCTTCGAGGCCGTTCCGAGAGACGATCGCTCGTCCAAAAGTCAGCCGAAACGAGTGGAAAACGGCCGAGAAAGGAGCCTTTGAAGTTGGGAATTTCGCTCTCTTTTGCTGCCCTGCCGAGCACGTCGGCCTCGTCCATGTAGTGCGTCGTCAGCAGGAGCGTGCGCTCGGCCTTCTCCTGCTCGAGCACGTCCCAGAGCTCCTTGCGCGCGAGAGGATCGAGGCCCGTCGTCGGCTCGTCCAAGACGACGAACCTGGAGCCGCCCGCGAGCGCGCAGGCCGTCGAGAGCTTCCGCCGCATGCCGCCCGAGAGCTCGCCGCCGAAGTGGCCCAGGCGCTCGCCGAGGTGGAAGGTCTCGAGTAACGCGTCGGCGTCGGCGCAGGACGGCTCGTAGGCGTTGGACTTGAGGACCGCGCAAAAGTGCGCGTGCTCGCGGACCGTGAGCTTCTCCCATAAAACGTCGTGCTGCGGCACGACGCCCAGGAGCGCCGACGTGCCGCCGGCCTCGCGACTGAGCAGGTCCACGCCGTAGGCGCGCGCGGCGGCGTCGCCGCCGTCGGGGGTCGTGAGGCCCGTGAGCAGGCGGAGCAGCGTCGTCTTGCCCGCGCCGTTGTGGCCGAGGAGCGCCGTCAGCTCGCCGTGCTTGAGCGCGAGGGCCGCGTCCTGGACGGCCTTGAAGCTCCCGAAGGTCTTGTTCAGGCCCCGGAAGGTCACGGCGCCGTCGTCGCCGCCCTCGAGGGCGACGTAGTCGTCGCGGGAAGGTTCGGAATCCCTCGGGGCCCTCGCGACGCACTTGTAGAGCGAAGTAACGGGAAAATACCAGGGCCGCGTCGTGCCGAACTCGGACGGGAGCACCTCGCCGAGGTACCAGGCGAGCACGCCCCAGAGGCCGACGTCGAGGAAGAGCCACTTGGTGACGTGCGCGAGCGACGCCCGCACCGTCGCCGGGTACTTGGCCATGGTCGACGACGCGCTCAGGATGGCGACCTGGAGCGCCGTTGTTGGAAGTAACAACCAAGCGTCCGTGTAGGGCTCCTCGAGCGCCTTGGGCTTCGTGTCCTTGACGACGACGAACGCCACGACGGACGCGATCACCACCCCAAAGGCGAGCTGCGACGCGCCCGGCGCGCTGTCGCAGACCGTCGACAGCGCGCAGGACACGGCGACGAGCGCGAGGCAGGCGGCCGTGAAGAAGCCCCAGGCGGTCGCAAACTCCGCGCCGTCGAGGCGCGGCGACGCGCCGTAGCCCCGGCCGCAGTTGTGCATCAAACCCGCCGGCGCGACGACGACCGCGAGCGCGAACCCCAGAGCCACCGAACACAACAGGCCGTCGACGAGCAGGGGGCCGGCCCAGGCCGCCGCGTCGCGGAGCCCCATGGCGCGCGTCGACTCCCTAAGCTTCGCCGCCTTGTCGGCGGCGAGCGACGCCGCCGTGCCCTGGAGCACGAAGACCAAGGAGATGACGCCGAGGTACTGCTCCATGGCGCCGCTGGACCGCTTGTGGCTAAAGGTCGCGTAGAGCAGCCACATGAGGCACCAGACGCAGAGCGGGTAGGCGAAGAACGTCGCGAGCGTCGTCGTCTCGCGGCGTTTCACCGCGAGCGCCTTCCAGACCACCAAATAGCACTGGCGCTGGAGCAGCGCCGCCTCGGACCCCGCCCGGCAGAGGGAGCGGGCACCAGGGCCGCCAGCGACGCCCAGGCGCCCGCGAGCAGCGGGCTCGCCTCGCCCGCGGCCCGCGCGGCGCGCAGGCTCCGCGCGCGCTCCGCGCGGAGCGCGGCGCCGTCCTTGTTCTCGACCTTCTCCGCCAGCGCGACGAGCGGCGCGTGCCAGGCGCAGTGCGACTTGGCGAGGCAGCAGGCCAACACGATGAACCAGACGACGACGACGAGGCACGCGAAGGCGATGCCGATCTGCTCGCCGCGCCCGATGGTGGAGATGGGCGCCTTCTCGTCGTCCGTGTAGAGGTCGTCGTCGGCGTCCGTCGACGGGCGGGGGGCGCCGCCGCGGAAGAGCATTCCTGCGGCGCGGCGCGACCCGGCGCGGTGGAATACCTCGTGCGTCGAGGAGTGTTGCTCTCCCGCCGTGCTGTGGCAAGAAGGACCAATCGCTGCTTCGTGGCGGGCCGATACTGCCGGCAGCCCAAACCTCCCACGCAACGCTTCCGAGGCTGCAACGGGCTTTGGGGCTGCCCTTTGCGCGCGCCGCGTCGTGCGTGACCATGGGCGCCGGCGCGTCGCGCTACAAGAGCGTCGAGGACGCCGTGGGCTGCGGCATCCCGCACACGGACATCGACAACTACTTGGCGCAGGACTGCGAGGCGGAGCTGGCCTCCATCAACCGCTGCTTCGGCCAGGACGTCCACCTGCCCTCGTCCGCGACGGCCTGCGGCCGCGCGGCGCAGAAGACCATCGAGCAGCTGGGGTTCGACCCGTCGAAGGTGCTCTACTGCAATTCCACGGGCCGCGACGAGCTCGCGCGGGAGCACCAGTGGTGGCGCTACCTCGAGGGCGTCTCGCGGGAGAGCGACCACGAGACGCGGAACCTCATCTTCAACATGGGCGGCTTGGGCGGCGTGCTCGCGGCGGGGAAGACGGGCCTGCAGGCCTGCTCGACGCACGCCATCGAGTCCGGCGGCTGCATCTTCATGTTCTGCGCGAGCCACGTCGGCGTCGACGCGGACGGCACCGTCGGCAAGATGCTCCACGAGAACATGAAGAAGCCGAGCCCCTGCTGCAACTCGAGCGATTTGGCGCTCAAGTGGGCGCGCAAGGCCGCGGGCGGCAAGAACGCGGTCAGCGACGACCCGGACGACTACCAGATGGACCAGCTGAAAACGATCGTCGCGGACTCGCTGACGCGCATCGACCTCGCGGCCCAGGAGGAGAAGGGGTCGGCGGCGGAGATGGCCGAGGTCGTCTACGAGGCCATCCACCGGAAGATCGTCCAGCTCGTGCCCGACCACCTCGCGCACAGCGTCCCCGTCGTGCTCTGCGGCGGCATCCAGATCCACACGAACCCGGGCAAGCCCGACTTCTTCGCGCCGCGCCACTTCGAGATCTACTCGCCGGGCTCCAACCCGCCCAACGACGCCATGGCCGCGTACCGCGCGAACCTCAAGACGCTCATCCTCTTCCAGACGGAGCTCACCGCCGCCGCGGACCGCCTCGCGGCCGTGGAGAACGGCGCCAAGTAGGCACGCGTAACGCGGCGATTCGGCGTCGACGCGCCGTTGGCGCGGCTGTGTCTTTGAGGCCACGTCCGTCGGCGCCGTCGGACGAGGCCGAGGCGTCGTCCGAGGAAGGCCTCGAGGAGGCCCTTCGAGGCGTCCATCGCGAACCATCTCGCAGGCCTGCAGGCTTCTCGCAAAACCGTGGTGCCGCTCGACCAGCACCTCGACCAGCGCTCTCGCACGGCGTCGCGTGCGCAGCTCACGCGCGCATCTGTTCAGCTCGACGCGTCGCGCGCGCACGAACCCTTCATCATGTCCAACATGTTTGCCAAGTTCGCGTTCGTGGCGCGCGACTCCACGGACGCCGAGGACGCGCCGGCGCCCGCGCCGCCGTCGGAGGAGACCTGGACGCAACGGCACGCGGCGCCGGCGTTCGAGGCGACGCGCGCGCCGAAGCGCGCGAAGACGGACGCGGCGCTCATGGGCGCGGGCCCGCGCGCGGGCGTCGGCGCCGTCGGCGAGTGCACGCCCGCGGACGTGCTCGTCGAGCGCTGGCAGTCGACGCTCCCGGGCGTCGTGTCCGTGGACGCGCGGCGCTTCATGACCGTGATCGGGTGTATTTTGAGTTCGCAGACGTTGACGGGCACGGCCTGCAAGGCCGTGGCGGCGCTGCGGGACGCCGCGCGCGCGGACGGCGCGGGCGACCTGTCGCCGGAGTGGCTCGCGGGCAAGGACAGCGCGGACGTCGCGAAGGTCATCAGCATGTGCAACTTCCTCAACAACAAGTCGAAGTTCATCGTGGCGACGGCGCGGTCCGTGCGCCACGCGCGCGGCCGCGTCGCGGAGACGCTCGACGGCTACAAGCTCTACAGCGGCGTCGGCCCCGAGCTCGCGGGGCTGCTCAAGGTCGTCAACACGCGCGAGATCGCCGAGGCCTGGTGCGACCGCGAGCGCGCCAAGGCCGACGAGGCCGCGGCGCCGGACGACGTCGTTCCCTGGGGGCTCGAGGCGCGCGGCGCCGCGGCGCCGCCGCCAGACGACGGCGCGGCCCCGCCGGAAAACACCGCGGCCCCCGATGCGCCTCCTCCGCCGCCGGAGGACGACGCGCCGAAGAAACGAACTATATGTCTGTAGTTTACGGCGGGCCTAGTCCAGCTCCTGGCCGAGCGCGCGCCGCCGCGCGGCCAGCGCCTTGCCCCGGTGGTGGACCGTGTCGAACTCGCCGCAGTGGAAGGCGGCGTCCTGGAACTCGGGCGACACGTCCTGGACCGCGCGGACGGGCTTCAGCGCCGGCAGCGAGGACACCGACGAGTACGTCGCGAGCAGAAACGCGACCTGCGCGCGGAGGGAAAACGCGTCGGCCGGCGCGCGCGCGTTTCGCGCGCGTGAGACGCGGGGCGCGCACGCAGACCTCGATGACCACGTCCACGGGCGGCACGAGCTCGGCGTCGTGGACGAGGCCCTTAAAATGGACCGTGGAAAACCCGGCGTGGATGATGAGCGCGACGCTAATGTAGTGCGCGACGGACATCGTCGTCGACGACGCGGATCGATGCGGGGCGCGCGTTGACTCGGTCGGCGGTGGTGTTCGTTGGCGCGCGCAGCGGCACGGCGCGACGACGCGGCCGGCGACCGAGTGCAAACACAGCTCGAGCCGCAATGGTGCTGCCGTCATCGACATTCTGCGCCGTGTTGCTCGCCTCCGCGGCGGCCTTCCGGGCCCCGGTCAGCGTCACCCATCTGACCGGTCGCGTCGGCACTTTGCGCGCGTCGGAGGCGCCCGCCGAGGGCTCCGACGACGCGTCCTCGACCTCGACGGCCGCCGCCGCCGGCGCGACGGCCGCGGCGGGCGCGGGCGTCCTCGCGGCGGCGACGACGGCCGCGGGCACGGCCTGCGCGGGCGGCGTCTGCGCCGTCGGCGCCGGCGCGGCGGCGACGGCCGCGGGCGGCGCGGGCGCGGGCGCGGCGGCCGCCGCCGTCGGCTCGCAGGCCGCGGCGGCGCTCGGCGCGCTGGGCCTGTCCGGCGCCCTGCTCTTCGGCGGCGGCGGGAGCGGCAGCTTGGAGTCCATGGCGTCGCGGAGCGTGCCGCTCCAGGACGCCTTCCGGTCCGACCACCCCGTCGTCCTCGAGTTTTACAGCGACGACTGCCCGCGCTGCCGCGAGGCCGCGCGGCGGCTCTACGACGTCGAGGTCGCCCACGCGGGCGACGTCGACTGGGTCATGGTCGACACGCAGAACGAGGCGAACCGGCCCCTCTGGGAGAAGCTCGGCGTCGACGAGATCCCGCACTTTTCGTTCCTGGACGCGTCGAAGACGCTCGCGCGCACGGAGATCGGGCCCATCTCGGCCAAGGCGGCCGAGGCGGGGATCGCCGCGATCGCGCCGGCGCGCTAACTTACTGCCAGCTCGACTTTCAAGACCCCGGCGTTGATTGCCCGGTCGATCTGAAAGTCGCCCTGTCTGCTTGTCCCGCGCGAGGTCGGTGAGCGCGCCGCTAAAAGGACGCCATCCACCCCTGGCGGTGTTGGAGCCGAATAGTTTGTACCGGTGGACATGACGAAGGCCCGGCCGTTCGGGCCAAGGCACGAGTTTATACTAAATTTTATTTTGGAATTCAACTTCAACTTCAACAACCACCAAACGGACCGGACATTCAAAACGGACGAAAGAGAGCCCGCGATTACCGCCACGGACGTCGACGCCGAGATGCAAGACCCGGCGCCCGCGAAGCGGCCGCGGCGGGGCGCGGCCGGCCAGGCGACCCAGGGCCCGGGCGTCGCCGGCGAGTCCGCGCGGCCGCGCGGCAAGTCGCGTGGCCGCTCCGCGACCGCCATGCGGCGCCACGGCCCCGCCTCCGCGGCGCAGGACTCGACGTCGAAGTCGCGGAGCCGCGCCGCGCCGCCGCCGCCGCGCCGCCACCGCTCGCCGGCGCCGCGCCCCGCCGCCGCCGCCGCCCCGCCGCCGCCGCGCGCGGCCGCGGCCGCCGCCCCGCCGCCCCCGGCCGCGGGCGCGTCGTCCACCGAGGCGCAGCTCGCCGAGGCGTTGGCGCGGCTCGAGCTGCTCGTCGTCGCGCCCTTCACGGCTGCACGCGAGGAGGCGCAGACGCGTCGCGACGA